AAATAATATTTCATATTTATTTAATAAATATTTTACTCTAAGAATATTTAATTTGAATGCAACTTAATAATAAAAAATAATAAAAAATAAATATTTTTTTAGATAATAGCAATGAAAAATGAAAATCACTAATAATAATTTGAAATATGTTTTTATTTTAATTTTAGTTAAGTCATCATTCACATCACCTCATTAAAACTACACAAGCAAAAAAGTCAAAGAGTTAACCGGTTTAAAAGGTAACAGGTTACCCATTGTTATTATGGGTAGATTTTTTAAAGTATAATGCCTTAATAAAAAATAATTTGAAAATACATTGCTATAATAAAGAAAACAAAAGTAAAATACTATAATAAATTTTTTTATGAAAATATGTTGCTATTTCATGCATTTAACCGTATAGATATTGATAAGATACGGGCCTTTAGAAACCCACAAGTTAAGCCCAATGGACAAATTAGCTTAAACATGAAGGACGTGACTGTGAGTGTGAGGCGTGAGCAAGCAAAATACTTTTATTATATAACCCTAATTCTCTCTCTTTCTCCCCCAATTTACTGCTAGGGTTCGTCATCAGAAATCCAAGGTATCTCTCATCCTGACAATTGTTTGTTTTTCTCTAAATCGCAAATGGTTTTTTGATTTACGTATCGCATTTGAGTTTTTATATCGGTAATTTCGAAACCACCTTCTCAGGCTCTTCCTTGAAGATGAGGCCGATTTTCTGTGGGAATTTCGAGTACGAGACTCGCCAATCTGATTTGGAGAGGCTGTTCGGCAAATATGGAAGGGTCGACCGCGTTGATATGAAATCTGGTATATTCTTCACTTGATTCAATGCTTTTCTCCTTGATATCCACGATCGTTCCCCTTAAATGGAACTAGAAACGAAAACTGAACATTTTGTTTTGTCAAACTCCCCTGCTTTACATAATCATTTGGCTTTAACTTATACCAGATAGAGATCAATGTCTTCGTTTGAGGCTCCTAGGTTTAGAAACTGGTTGTCAGACCTATAAGCCTTTTTTGGTTGGTTCTTTCTTTACTTGTAGCTTCCAATTATCATTAGCATAGACGTAAGACACATCAGTTCACCTCACTTGTGGCTATATAATTTCTGTTCGGTTTTCTTCTTTCAAATGTTTTTGCAAATACCCTCATCAAGTTTTACATCAAGCAATATTTTCTCTCTCTCTCTTGATTCTCATCCCTATCTGGGTGCATGCTCATTCTTAACACATGATGTGTTTTATATATTCGAGTCAACGTAAGTAATGCAAAAGGACCATATAACTGGGAAAGATTGATTCAGGAGAATTACTATAAAGCTACATTTGTAGTGATTACCTTGCATATGCACTCTGGACGGTTAATGAGGCGGTGAAAATTTGAATTACTTTGTAGCAGGCCTCCGTATTTAAGTGTTTGTTTTGACGCAGGAACAACAACCAAGGGAAAATGAGCTTCCCTCTTGGCTCACCAACTCCTTTGCAATAAAAAACCTAAGGGAATGGAAACCTATCTACCTGTCTGCTCTCCTTAATTCATCGATGGAATCCTTCTGCATTTCACTCACTCGATCATCTCATTCACTTACCTCATTGCTTGCCATTTTACAAGAATTATCATGTTGGGATCTGTCAATGCAACTTGCCTTGTCTTGCTTCCATCAGTGATTATGAGGGGCCATGAATTCTATCCTGCCATGCCTTCCATTTCTGAACACGTGCTGTGAAAATGGTGAAGCATGCTTAGCAATGCCATTTCAGACTTGAGACTTGGACTTAATCTTTTATTATGCCATCATCATCATGATTTAGTTCATCTTGCAAGGCTTCTACATCCTTGTGTTCATCAGATCTTCACGTCTTTGCAGGTGTCGTACTTTTTATCTAGTTTCTGTGAGGGAAAAGAAACCTCATTTGGATGTGTACTGCCTGTGTGGTCTTCGGTGAGCACTTTTTCGTTTTTATTTGCTGGTTTCCTAACTGTGTTTTCCATTACAGGATTTGCTTTTGTTTACTATGAGGATGAGCGTGATGCTGAAGACGCCATTCATGCTCTTGACAATAGCCCATTTGGATATGACAGACGGAGGCTCTCAGTGGAATGGGCTAGGGTAATTTGCTTTTCTTTGCCATCTTTGCTGTGTTCAATTGCCTTTTGATTTAAAAATTAGTTAGGGACTTGGGTATTAACATACCATAGTTATAGGGGTAAAAATAGGATTTCTAATTAGAGGCTACCTTTGGCAGGGAGAACGCGGTCGACACCGTGATGGCTCTAAGTCTGTGGCAAACCAGAGGCCAACCAAGACACTGTTTGTAATCAACTTTGACCCAATCCGCACAAGGGTTCGTGATATCGAGAAGCACTTTGAGCCTTATGGGAAGGTTCTCCATGTTCGTATCAGGCGCAACTTTGCATTTGTGCAATTTGAAACCCAAGAAGATGCGACGAAAGCCCTGGAGTGTACGCACATGAGGTTTGTGGTTGTGTAGTTTTTTTTCCTGTAGATCTCAAGTGGTATTGTTAATAGTGCTGAAATTTAAGATTTATTTTGCAGTAAGATCTTGGATAGGGTGGTATCAGTGGAGTATGCTTTGAGGGATGATAGTGAGAGAGGAGACAGATCGATGAGTCCTAGAAGAGATTATGGTCGACGAGGTGATAGTCCGCCTTTATATAGGAGGTCACCTAGTCCATATAAAAGAGGGCGGCCAAGTCCTGATTATGGGCGTGCCCGTAGTCCTGTGTATGATAGGTACAATGGACCCTCGTATGATAGGCCCCGGAGCCCTGGATATGGCAGATATCGCAGGTAATATGTCTGACTGTCTGAAAAGAATTGATTTGCTTCATGTGGTATAAGATTGATTGACAAATGGTTTGTTTGGTTACAGCCGATCTCCTGTACGAAGATCAAGGACTTAGGGGAGAGGGCATCTCATTTCAGTAGATATATGTGGTGGTTAGATGAATATGTTGTATGACTGACTGTCTTTTTGAAATGGATTGGTTTATTCCTACCGTTTGTTGGGTCTGAAAGTAATATGAATCAAAATCTTGATAAGCTGCTGCATTTTGGAAAGGTGGGTTGGTTTTTGTTTTTGTTTTTGTTTTTGTGGAAAGTGAAAACAAGCAATTTCCTCATTTTAACCATCAGTTAGTTCATTTATGGTCAACATTTGTGCACATTGGTTGCGGAGGAGACAAAAGTTGCCTGGACCCTTCACCTCTGTTAAACGCGTTTTAGAACCATATGTTTAGGTGTAAATGGACAATATTTTGTATGGTTGGCCTGAGATGTTGATGTTGCCGGTGAGGACATTGGGTTTCATGAGGGGTGGATTTCGGGGAGGAGAATAAAAGTTGGCTTATAAGGAATTGGACAGCTCCTTTCTAAAACCGTGAGACAATATTTGGTACGGTTGGTTTAGGATGTTACAATTTGATAAAAGAAAAAGAAAAAAGAAAATGAAGGGCGTAGATGATGATTGTATTAATTTTAATTTCAAGACTAGAATGAGTTGGCTTTGTCCCTACTTTTTTTCATCAATCAATGCCAAGTTGATTCATTTATTCGTTTACAAAAATAAGAAATAAGTACAATTTTAATGGTTTTTGTTCCTACATTTAAGTTGACCATGAGTATCGTGGTTTATAAAAGCTTTTGGATTGGAGTATTACCTTAAGCCGGAACATTTCCATTTTTCAAAAGTTTTTGCATATTAAAAATTATTAGTCTTTTAGATCCATCCGCTAAATTAATAATATGCCCCTAAAAACTTGTTGTATTTAGCACCCTTCCTTTTCCTTTGGCCAAACCCAACATCAGCCTAAAAATCTAATGTCTCGCGGCTAAATAAAAAATCCACAAAGACGTAGTAGTGGAGGACCGAGAAATTATGTGTCATGTTGACTTAATGACTTGGTCGATGTTCAAATTAAATAGAGCGTTATCACAAATAGTTAGAGCCGAAATAAAAGGTGGGAAATTAAGAAATGAGTTTATAATATACGATTGTATCTTTATTCATACCTAAAAAATGTTACTTGTTTGTCATGTCAAGTAATTAATTCATGAAAGAGTAATCTAAATAAAAATGATTAATTAATAGAAATAAAATAAACATGAGCTAGCTAGGAATATATATTTTTAATTAAATATGAACAAAAACAATTAATTAATTTGTTTCTTGACAAATTAACAATCATTTAACATATATATATATATATATATATATATATA